CACAGAATTGAGTAAGATGTACTCCTGCCCCAGAAGCCTTCTCTTGGGTGAGTGTGTGGAGTTCAAGGCAGAAGGAACAGTGCACACAAAGGGGTCAGGCAGAACCGAGCAGCTGACACAGTCACGGAGACTGAGGCGCACTGGCAAGCAGTGGCAGGGGCAAGGCTGGGAAGGGCATTTTAGGGATCATGTTACAGAACACCTTGACTGCGAGGTGAAGCAGAATCTTTACTTAGTGTAAGTAGAGAGCCAAAACAAAATTTTCTTTTCTTTATGACTGCATGTAACAAAGGCTGAACAAGAAAAACCTAAAATAAGGCTGTATTACCTCACATGTATTTGTGGTGGGGCAGGGTAGGGATGCTGGGGAGGAATGGGTGATGAGAAATCAAAGACTGGATTATAAAATGTATGCACAGAAACAGGTATGTCGCGAGGAAAAGCTGGTTTATGCAGATGGCCAGGTTTATGTCCGAGTTTTCTGTTGTTGTTTCCCTCCCTGCCCTAGAAAACTTCTGCCAAATATTAAGGAGAGTAGCTTATATACTACTAGAAACAAAGGGGCAGCAAACGCTACTCCGTATGTGGGCACAGTACGTGGCCACTGAGAGGAGTGAATGACGGTTCAGGGGTCAGCATCTAATGTGGCCTGGTCACTACTGAGCTGCTACAAAGAAAATCTCAGGCAATACATCTTATTTTTTAACATCATTAGAGTTCTTTCTAAAAGTGACTCAAAATAACAAACCAATCCTCATACCTTTCCTGAACAGCAGAAGAGGATTACGAGGAACACAGGCAGTGCTACAGTCAAAACGTAGACCACCCAGAGCCACGGGCGCTCCTCAGCTGCCTCCAGCATCTGCCCCACTACACCTGGCTGAAAAACAAGACAGGACTGATTTCACATTCTGGCTTTTGACAGCAAATACAGGCAGTACTGTTCCACTGCTCAGTGACCGCATGGCACTACTCGGGCTCCACCTTTTCCAAAGGGTTCAAGCCAAAATGTTCACATAGCAAAAAAATAAAGGAAATAGGAGAAACTCTCCAATTTTCCTATTCTCCACATCTAGGTGATTTTCCTTTCACAGGTACAAAAGCTGGCTTCTTAGTTACCAGCAAAAGACAATTTCAGGAATCAGAGAATGAAAAATTTCTTGATCGTAATGTCTCTGGCTCTCCGATTCTCAGCTCGGCCATGTGACCAACTGTTTGAAAATTCTGCATATTGGGTGAACCAAGAACATTTAAGAGTACATTAAAATATACCCTGAATGGCAAATTTTGTTGAACTTTCAAAACAAGAACAATTTTTAAAAACCCAACACATAACACAGATGCTAAAGCCACTGCATTAAAACTAATGCAATCAAGTCCAAAACTCCAGTATTGTCTTTAGTAGGCATAAGATCACTTTTTATGCCAATATCCCCAAATAAGGGAAAAGACAAACCTAGACGACAGGTTTTTGCAAAAGCAGCTATTAGTTTCATCTAATTGCAAAAATAAGCGCACAAGAAACAAGCCAGCACAAACCTCAGCTGCCCCATCAGCAGCTTTCTTCAGACCCCATCCATCATTGGCCCAATCATCAACTACTCTTCGATCGCTACAAATGATGAAGTTGTCAAAAAAAATGTCCGAGGTCATGGACCACAGTTCCAAACCAATAGCACTAAAAGGAGTCATTTTAAAAGGTTCCAAATCTTCAAAGAAATCTGGATTTGGTATTTTCTGGGGTTTCCAGATTCCCTAGAGAGAAATATTAAAAAAAAAAAAATCATTTCAGATAATAAACATAAATTTATGCTGATCCTAAATAAGAATTAAGATGAATTCTGCATGATAAATGAATTTAAGTGCTGACTTTGTGAAACTTAATTGAGTAACAGGAAGCAAACAATAAATGCTATTGATGTTTTACACTCTGCCTTGAAGGTGTCTGAACTCCAACTACTTTCAATTTCTAATATCCATGACCTTGATCCAAACCAACATCTCACAGTGCCTGGCACTTTCCAAAGGCCTCCATTCTTACCAACTAGTCTGTTAGCAGGAGAGGGAGCCTATATGGTACCAACTTCTTTAGTGGTGATTTAAAATGTAAATGATCTGTGCATTGGCTGGTGTGGCTTAGTGGATTGTGTGTTGGCCTGTGAACTGCAAGGTCACCAGTTCCAGTCCTAGTCAAGTCACATACCTGCACTGTGGAGCAGGTCCCTGGTCGGGGGCCTGCAAGAGGCAACATCTCTCACACATTGATATTTCCTCTTGCTCTCTTTCTCCCTCCCTCCCCCTCTTTCTAAAGGTAAAAAAATAAAATCTTTAAAATAAAAATAAAATGTAAATGATCTTCAACCAGCAATTCCACTTCTAAGTAACTGCCTACAGAAATAGTTACTACATACACTCAGACATACACAAGGATGATTACTGCACCAAGGATTCAAAAAAACAAAAAAAAAGGCAATTCACCTAAGAGGCCATCAACCCAACAGCCGAAGTGCAGTTTTTTAAAGAATTTTTCACGAATCTTATTTTACTTTAGTTTTTGACTGCACAATCAAAAATACATTTAAAAACAGAGAAGTAGCATATAGCCACAGTGTATGCATTAGACATAGACCCACATTTCACCCCAAGTGTGACAAAAAGGAAATTGACAATTATAAATAATTTAACTAGGATAAACAAAAGCGAGATCAGGGTCTGAGTGATTATAGGCCCATAATGAATGTGAGGCTTCAGCAACATCACTACCTGTATTTTTAGCATCCCATTTGAACCTCACAGTCTTTTCCCAGTTGGTGATACTGAGGTCCCGCAAGGAGCTGGCTTGTGGTCGGAGAGCCAATCCCAGCCCAGTCCTGTCCCATCCTGCCTCACGCATGGCCAGCCTGTGTCCTGCAGCTACAGCACCTCTGCCACGTGAGAGCAGGACACCCAAACTCAAGTTTTCCACTGGTCTTTGGTTTTTAAACAAAGACACAAAGCAATTATGAAAGCTCTTCTTTCTAGTTTGTAGGTTTTTCTTTTCCACACTAAACATGTAAGCTCTCTCAGCTTATGACGGTTACTTTGTAATTCAGTAATTTGGAAACAGTGATCAATCTGGCAGCCTCACTGTACAGACAACTTCTACCTGAACACAACCAGGTTGATGAGGTGCGTCAGGAGGCACACACCTGGTAGTTTGGGTTGTCAATCATGGGGGGCTTCCATTTGCCCTTATAATTAGGGTTGTCAATCATAGGTCGCTGCCAGACACCACAGCCAGGGGCTGCCTCACACTTGGGGTTTGCAATCTGAGGAGCCTCCCATTCTCCATCCATATCTTCATCCCTGTGGAAACACAAATTACAAGCGGGTTCTGTGATGAAGGACTGCGAGTTGCCGTCCCAGGGCCCCCCTGACATCCCGTAGGAATGCTTTCAGTGTCATGCTATAGAGCGCTGTGTTGTATCTGCATTTCTGAGAACCAGTTTCTCAGGATAGGGGCATTAAAAGAAGGACACACAAAAATAGTTAAATCTGCTGAGCCCTACACTCTAAGTTTGGGCACCGGGCTGTCTTTACATGTAAGCTTTTAACTCAATAAAAAAGCAGGTAATTTAAAAAGTTAACTACAGCTCCTACCAATCCTCTGGCTTTTCTGCATCTGGATCAGCTACATATTCAGGCTCATCATCTAACCAGCCTTCAGGCTTTGTGGCTTCTTCATCAGGAATCTTAGCAGGGGCATCTTCATCCCTTAAATACAAAAGAAAAAGCCAGTTATGACAACAATGATCAGAGAATCACAATGCAGACCCACTTTGTGAATCTGAAACAGGGCAAGATAAAAATATTTAGGTGTTAATCTCAAAATTTAAAATTCTTCCTAGAAATTATTTGCAAATCATGTGTTTGATAAGGGCCTAGTATCCAGAATATATAAAGAACTCTTGCTCTGACTGGTGTGGCTCAGTGGGTTGAGTGCCAGACTGTGAACCAAAAGGTCTTGCTGATTTGAATCCTGGTCAGGGCACATGCCTGGGTTTCAGGCCGGTCCACAGTTGGAGGAGTGTGAGAGGCAGCTAATCCATTCTTCTTTCCCTTTCTCCCTCCCTTTCCCTCTTTCTAAAAAATAAAAATAAAAATCTTAAAAAACAACAACAAAAAAACTCTTATGACTTAGTAATAAAAGGACAACCCAATTAAAAAACCAGTAAAGAATTTGAACAGATATGCAAATGACCAATAAGTATAAGAAGAGATGTTCAACATCATTAGCCATCAGGGAAATGCAAACAAAAACTGCACTAAGATACCACTTCCCAACCACTAGGATGGCTAATATTTAAAAAAAAAAAAAAAAAAAAGGAAGACAAAAACAAGTGTTGGCTCAAGAATGTGGGGAAAAAGAAACTCTCATACATTGCTGGTGGGAAAGCAAAATGGTGCAGCACTTTGGAAGAGAGTTTGGCAATTCCTCAAAAAGTTAAAACACAGAGTTACCATATGGCCCAGCAATTCCACTCCTAAGTATAGATCCTAGAGAAATGAAAATTTATATCCACCCAAAAACCTATACCAGAATGTTCATAGACGCATTAGTCATAATCACAGCTGAGAATGGGAAACAACTTCAATGTCAATCAACAGGATGGAGAAATAAAATTGGTATTATCTATACAATGGAACATTATTCAGCCCTAAAAAGAAACGAAGCACTGACACATATGTCAACATGGATGAATCTTGACATTATAGTATGTGAAAGCCAGCCAGCCACAAAACATCACGTATTTTATTCTATGTCCAGAATGGGCAAAGCCATAGAGAGAGAAAGTTGGGAATGTAGAAACAGAGAGTAACTGCTTAGTTGGGGGTGTAGGGGGGTGTGGTTCGGGGGGTGCTAAAAATCCTCTGGAGTAGACACATCTTCTGATGGCTGTACAACAGTGGTAAATGTACTAAACCACTAAGGTGGGCTTTTTTTTTTTTTTTCTTGGCCAAGTGTCAGACTAGCAATCATCCAGATGTTCACAGCCACAACACTGGGCACAGACGAGCCTCTCTTTTCTTTGCCACCTGATGACATAGATGTGACATGGCAGCCACATCTGCAACACCTCTAGGGGCCGTTATATTGTACAATTTAAAAGGACAGATTTTAGTGTGTTAATTGTAACTCAAACAGCAACTGCTAAAATAAAAGTTCATCAGGGAGTACCTTTCCAAGTCTCACGTAGTTGCTGAAAGATGGTGCCACTTTAGCCGGTAAGCAAATACATCATATATCCTTGGTCACATGCTTATTCTTTGAACTACACTAGTTTTAAATTAATTGTGTGAGAATGTGAACTTGCCTAACATTCAGCTGACCCTCTTAGGCAGGACATTCTCCTTCCCCAAAATAAAATAGCTAGTTAGGGAATATGATACTGAACAAGGCTGAGTCCAAATCTAGTGTTCACCAAACACACAAATAAACTTGGCATTTACACCACTACAGCACAAGAGTCCAGGAACCCATACTTTAATTTAAGGGAGGAAAAACACCAACTGCAATGTCACTGCTAAGCTTAAGGGGATACTTTTACAAATGGAAGATCAGTTGTACTGTTTCTCCCTGTTCACTTTCTGACATTTCCAAAAGCCAGTTTTAGGATGCACCCTACACAAAAAGCCAGGCACACTCACTTCCCCTCACCTGTACTGAGCTCACTTCTGCTCCTCTACCTCCGCATGTGATATGCTGCTTCAACCACAACGACCACGTCCGTCTTCCCCACTCAGTTCATTCCCACCCCTGCGTCAAGTCGCAGTGAGACGGGCACTGCTCCAAGAAACCGCCCCCGCAGTAGGTACACCTGGCGCTCTGGTCACCCGGTAACACTTTCCATAAGGCCACTCACCACACGCATGCCAACTTCGTTTACCTGGGGAACTGGAGCCGTGTGCGCAGCTCACGTTCTTGTGGATAACTAGGTATCCTACTGCCCAAAACAGAGCAGAGATCTCTTGAGTTTTATTTAAATTAGATAAAGATTATTTTTCAAATTAGAATTTAAAATCTCAGGACTCAGGCTTTCAATGTGAATTCATACAAGCAGTTGAAAGGCCAGGCTGAGAGGCCTGAGGCTCTGCCATACATCCACTGTGCCAGCACAGGCAGGCTCGCCGCCGCAGGCAGCCTCAGGTGGCCTCAGGTCTGGGGGCTGGTGGAGGCCGCCCGATGGTCTGCAGGGCCCCCTTTCAGCTGCCAGAGTTCAGATTTTTCCTACCATGTGAACTGCATCACAGATTATTAAAGTTATCACATCTAAACTAACATTCATTGGATCAACTGCACTGAAAGACTCACCAGTCATCTGGCTTGACAGCATCGGGATCTGGTATTTTTGGTCTTTCATCCCAATCCTCGGGTTTCCGGTCTTCTGGGTCCTCAATTTCACGTGAAGGATTTACAGGAGGAGTCATGTCATTTAGTAGATTTCCACTGTTCACAAGAGATTGGTCCACTAGTATTTCAAAACTATTATCTGGATTCAAGACTGAAAAAAAGTAAATGAAATTTTAAAAAGTTATTTTAACCACTCATTCCTAAACTCTCTTTACTACAACACAAAAGACTGTGTTTCTAACAGAAAGCAGAAGCGTGAAGTAAAGGCCTCAGGCAATGAGGTCAGAATGTGGTCTTGGAGCCCTAGGCAAGTCAATCTTAATTTCCTTACCTGTAAATTATAAAGCTAGTTCCTCAGAATTTTAGGAATTAAAACAGATGATAGGTGAAATTTAAATGAACACAAGACTTCATTTATGTATACTTTAAAATAATTTTTAAGGTAAAACTAATACAATATTGGTCTGACACAAAGGGTTACACACCAGTGCAGGCAAATTAGCTTATTTTTTTAATAACTACCCCCAGTAAGGATCCATTTCCTCATTTTTTTGAGTTGGCATTACTACTGTTACCAAAATTTCAAACTACACCAACTTTTTATTTATTAAACCATAAGCCTATGCATGGTTGTACCTTTGGAGTCCAATGGAGAATTTAAAAAAAAACAATTTTAAATCCAGAAAGCCATCTTCAGTGTGATTAAGCTATAGCCTGGGTCCCACATGTCTGACTGGCCGCTGTGTAACGGCACACCCGGGAGACTGTGGGAGATGACAGAGTGCTGTCCCACGGGTCTCAGTATAAGTGAGTGAGCAGTGCTGTCAAAGATACTTACACTCATGGAAAGATTCCGGCACTTCTGTGACGTTAAAGAGCAAGTGCAATACAAGATATTTGACTTTCAATAAAAAAATTATGTGATTAGACACATGTTTATTCACAAATGGCCAAATACATATCACGGCGTTATTTCAGATAATTTTGAATATCTTTTTTATGTTTATTTCTATCTCCTGAATTTCTATGCTGAATATGTATTATTTTTGCTATCAAGAAAATAGGTTACTATATTCTTTAAGAAAAGAAGCATGTGGCCCTGGCCGGGTGGCTCAGTTGGTTAGAGCGTCATCCTATGCACCAAAAAAAGGCTGTGGGTTCAATCCCCAGTCAAGGTAAATACCTAGGCTAAGGGTTCAATCCTTGGTTACAGTGCATACGGGAGACAGCTGACTGATGTTTCTCTCTCTTATCGATGTTTTTGTTTTTCTACCCCCCAACCCCCAAAAGCAACAAACAAATCCTGCAGTGAAGATTAAAAAAAAAAAAGGGGGGGGGGTATGTGTATATGTAATCTCAGCAGGAAAAGCTTTAATAAAATAAAAATCCCATTCTACTGTCCAAATGATTAAATTCAACTGTCCACATGTTGAAGCATCCAAGCAGACTTCAACAAAAAGATAATTTAAAAAACATGCCCTGGCTAGTGTAGCTCAGTAGACTAAGCAATGGCCTATGAACCAGAAGGTTCAGGTTCGATTCGCAGTCAGGGCACATGCCTGGGCTGCAGGCCAGGTCCCCTGTTGGGGGAGTGTACGAGGCAACAGATCCATGTATCGCTTACACATCGAAGTTTCTCTCCTTTTCTTTCTCCTTCCCTTCTCCTCGCTCTAAAAGTAAGTAAAATCTTAAAAAAAAACAAAACAACCAAAAAAATACTATGCATGTATTTCTACTATATGTTCTATTACTTAACATTTTTTCAACAAGAAAATAAACAAAGGGTGGAAATGAGGGCCTCAGCCAAGAAGCTCTGGATGGGACAAAAGCTTATTCTCGAAATTGCTTCAAACTCCAATTCTCAATTCAAACAATGGAAGAGAAGCTTCTTTTTGTGCCGAGACATTAAGTCCATTTCACCACTAAGATATTAGGTTAACAGAGACTCTTATTTGCAGGTTTAGGTCTTCTCTATGTGTGCAATCTTTACGTTAAATGCATAATAAATCTGTAGTGCCATAAAACCCCTCCCAAAATTAATGATTTTTCTTACTTAATGTATAAAGATGTGTTTTCTTATCAGTAAAATAGGTCTTCAGATCTGCATCTGGCCTCTTCGCATGCTTTTCTTCGTATATACCCGTTTTTGGGTTTTTGTGGCGGAAGATGAAGTGCAATTTATAGTCCTCTCCACATTTATCTGGACCAAACATTATTGTGTAAGGGGTCTTGTCGTGGAACTGGTCCTTCAGAAACAAAAATGGGTTATATTAAGTAAATTAAAAAGCAACTTTTCAAAAGTGTGGTATTTCCCCTTATGATATCCCAAATAAATTACTGTCACATTAAAAGGAAAGCTGAGCCCTAGCTGGTGTGGCTCAGTAGACTGAGTGCCGACTCGATTCCCATCAGAGCGCAGACCTGGGAAGTAGGCCAGGTCCACTCCCCAGTTGGGGGAGTGCAAGGGGCAACCCATCAATGTATCTCTAGCACATCTTTGTTTCTCTCCCTCTCTTTCTCCCTCCCTTCCTCTCTCTAAAAAATAAATGAATCTTAAAAAAAAAAAAAAAAAAGAAAAAAAAAAAGAAAGCTGATTCTATGACAGCATGGATGAACCTAGAGGTATTATGCTAAGTGAAATTAAGTCAGACAAAGACCTATCATATCATTTCAGTTACATGTGGACTCTAAAGAACAAAAAGGAATGAAACAGAAAGACTCACGGATACAGAGAACAAACTGATGGTTGCCAGATGGGAGGGGGGTTGAGGAGCTGGGTGATAAAGGTGAAGGGATTAAGTACAAATTGGCAAGTTATAGGGTAGTCACAGGGATGTAAAGTACAGCACAGGGAATGTAACAACTATGTTTGGTGTCAGCTGGGTACTAGATTTATCAGGAGGATTCACTTTCTAAGTTACATAAATGCCTAACTACTACGTTGTAAACCCGAAACTAATAAAATACTGCATGCCAACTGTAATTGAAAAATTTTTTGAAGAGAAAAGATGATTAGTTTATGAGGTTTGTATAGATCATAGTGAGAAGGAATAAACAGATTTTATCAGGAAATTTTACATGAGAATATTATGGAAATGCTTAAAAAACAAAGGAATGCATATATCTAGTTACTGTTTCTTTCATAAAACAAAAAAAGCAAGTTTGCTAAAACTAAAAATCACCGTGAACAGTAACCAGGAATAGACAAAACTGTTTTGAAATTCACATTTCAAATAAAAAGCACGGAAATGTAAAAATCAATATTCCCAACCTTCCAAAATGTTTCAACAGCAGAATAGGCCTTTATTGTTACAGACCTTACAAAATTTTCTTTCCTTTTTTCTGAGGTACTTATAATTATGGATGGCCATGTAAAATAGGAGGTACCTACCAAGTTGAGTTCTGGGGTTTTGGAAAGCAGTTTCACATAGGCACCACCACATTCTATTCCATTTTGGAAATTAACCTCATACCTAATTTTAGAGAGAAAAGCAGAAAATCACATGGCAGTCTAAAAGATCAAATTTCTTATTTATTACCCCTTTCCCCATCCTGGTCTCATGTTTTATCATAGGTTGTAAGCTTATCCTTAGGAAAGATTCCATTTTCTAATTTCTTTTGAATGACTTCCAAATCACCCTAAAATAAATACGTAAAATGAAATAAAAGCTTAAGGCAAAAATCCCAGTAAATATTGGGTTGGCCAGAAAGTTCGTTTAGTTTTTTCCATACGATGAGT